TGCCACATAAACTGAATTAAAAATAGGCCAGGCGTGGTGGCGCATGCCTGTAATCCCAGCACTTTGGGAGGCCAAGTCGGGTGGATCACCTGAGGTTGGGAGTTCAAGCCTGACCAACATGGAGAAACCCTGTCTCTACTGAAAACATAAAATTAGGTGGGCGTGGTGGCACATACCTATAGTCCCAGCTGCTTGGGAGGCTAAGGCAGGAGAATTGCTTGAACCCAGCAGGCGGAGGGAGCAGTGAGCTGAGATCACATCACTGCACTCCAGCCTGGGCAACAAGAGCAAAACTCCCATGTCAAAGAAATAAACATAAACAAAGAAATAAAAACCACATGATCATTTCAATAGATGTGGGAAAAACTTTCAATAAAATCTAACATCACTTCATGATAAAAACCCTCAACAAATGAGTCATTGGAGGAACATACTTCTAAATAATAACAGACATTTATGACAAATCTACAGCCAACAGCATACTAAACAGGCAAAAGCTGGAAGCATTCTCTTAAAGAACAGGAATAGTCCACAGAAAACTGAAGTAGTTAAGACCTTAAAAAACAAAACAAAACAAAACAGGAATAAGACAAGGATATCCACTCTCACCATTCCTGTCTAATATAGTACTGGAAGTCCTAGCTAGATTAGTCACCCAAGAGAAAGAAATAAAAGGCATCCAAACAGGAAAAGAAGTCAAATTGTCTGTCTCTGCTGATGAATTCCACACCTAGAAAACCCTAAAGATTCCATCAACGAAAAGTCTCCTGGGACTGATAAATGACTTCAATAAAGTTTCTTTCTCTCTCTTTGTCTCTTTCTTTGACAGAGTTTTGCTCTTGTTGCCCAGGCTGGAGTGCAATGATGTGGTCTTGGCTCACTGCAACCTCCACCTCCCAGGTTCAAGAGATTCTCCTGCCTCAGCCTCCCGAGTAGTTGGGACTACAGGCCCGCACCACTACCTCCAGCTAATCTTTGTATTTTTAGTAGATGGGGTTTCACCATGTTGGCCAGGCTGGTCTCAAACTCCTGACCTCAGGTGATCTACCCATCTCAGCCTGCCTAAGTGCTAGGATTACAGGCATGAGCCACTGCGCCCTGCCTGCCTGCCTGGCAAAGTTTCAGAATACAAATTAATGTACAAAAGTTTAGTAGTCTCTCTCTCTCTCTCTTTCTTTCTTTCTTCTTTTTTTTTTTGAGACAGAGTTTTACTCTTGTTGCCCAGGCTGGAGTGCAATGGCATAATCCTGGCTCACCACAACCTCCAGCTCTGGGGTTCAAGCGATTCTCTTGCCTCAGCCTCCTGAGAAGCTGCGATTACAGGCATATGCCACCACGCCTGGCTAATTTTGTATTTTTAGTAGAGACAGGGTTTCACCATGTTGGTCAGGCTGGTCTCAAACTCCTGACCTAAGATGACCCACCTGCCTCGGCCTCCCAAAATGCTGGGATTACAGGCCTGAGCCACTGTGTCCAGCCACCAGTAGCATTTCTATACATCAATAATGTTCAAGCTGAGAGACAAATCAAGAACATAATCCCATATACAATATCCACCAAAAATTTAATATGTTTAGGACTACTTCTAACCAAAGAGAGGAAAGATCACTACAAGGAGAATTACAAAACACTGTTGAAAGAAATAATAAATGACACAAATGAAAAAATATTCCATGCTTGTGGATAGGAAGAATCAATATCGTTAAAATGATTATACTGCTCAAAACAATCTACAGATTCAATACTATTCCTATTAAACTACAACATCATTTTTCACTACATGAGAAAAAAACTATTCTAAAATTCATATGGAACCAAAAAAGAACCCAAATAGCCAAAGCCATCCTATGCAAAAACAACAAAGCTGGAGGCATCACATTATCCAACTTCAAACTATACTATAAGGTGACAGTAACCAAAACAACATTGTACTGGTACAAAAACAGACATAGACCAATGGAACAGAATAGAGAACCCAGAAATAAAGCCCCATGCCCAAACCATCTGATCATGGACAAAGTCAACAAAAATAAGCAATGGGGAAAGGACTCTCTATCCATTAAATGATGCTGGGACAGCTAGCTCGCCATATGCAGACGAATAAAATTGCATCCCTACCTTTCATCATATACAAAAGTTAACTCAAGATGGATTAAAGATTTAGAAGTAAGACCTCAAACTATACAAATCCTAGAAGAAAACCTAGGAAGTACCATTGTTTCTTTTTAAATTTTATTTATTTATTTAGAGATAGAGTTTTTGCTCTGTTGCCCAGGCTGCAGTGAGTGGTACGATCTCACTCACTGCAACCTCTGCCTCCCAGGTTCAAGTGATTCTCCTGCCTCCGTCTCCTGAGTAGCTGGGATAACAGGTGCCTGCCACCAAGCCCGGCTAATTTTTGGATTTTAAGTAGAGACGGGGTTTCATCATGTTGGCCAGGCTGGTCTCAAACTCCCACTGTTTCTTTATTTAAAATTTGTGTCTTCTGGAAATACCATTCTGGACATCAACCTTGGCAAAGAATTTATAACTAAGTCCTCAAAAGCAATTGCAACACAAGCAAAAATTGACAAGTGAAACCTAATTAAAGAACTTCTGCACAGCCAAAGATGCTATCAACAGAGTAGACAGACAACCTACAGAATGTGAGAAAATATTCACAAACTATGCATCCAACAGTCTAATATCTGGAATCTAAAGGGAACTTAAAACAATCCAACAAGCAAATAAATAAATAAATAAATAAATAAACCCATTAAAAAGTGGGCCAAGGACATACATATACACTTCTCAAAAGTATCTCAAATAAGCAGCTGACAAACTCATGAAAAAATGGTCAACAAAATTAATCATCACAATGAGATACCATTTTACAACAGTTAGAATGGCTATTATCAAAAAGTCAGGAGGCCAGGTGCGGTGGCTCATGTCTGTAATCCCAGCACTTTGGGAGGCCGAGGCGTCACCTGAGGTCAGGAGTTCGAGACTATCCTGACCAACATGGTAAAACCCTGTCTTTACTAAAAGTACAAAAATTAGCCGGTGTGGCTGCACACAGTTGTAGTCCCAGCCACTTGGGAGGCCGAGGCAGGTGAATTGCTTGAACCCAGGTGGCAGAGGTTGCAGTAAGCCAAGATTTCTCCACTGCATTCCAGCCTGGGTCACAGAGCGAGACTCTGTCTCAATATGATAACAATAAAAATTAAAAGTAAAAAATAACAGATGATAGCAAGGCTGCAGAGAAAAGGAATGCTTATCTACTGTTAATGGGAATGTAAATTAGTTCAGCCACTGTGGAAAGTAGTTTGAAGATTTCTTGTGGTGGTGGTGGTGGTGGTGGTTTGTTTTAGTTTTTGTTTCTGAGATGGAGTCTTGCTATGTCGTCCAGGCTGGAGTGCAGTGGCATGATCTTAGCTCACTGAAACCTCCACCTCCCCAGTTCAAGCAATTCTCCTGCCTCAGCCTCCTGAGTAGCTGGGACTACAGGCATGTGCCACTGTACCAAGCTAATTTTTGTATTTTCAGTAGAGACAGGGTTTCACCATGTTGGTCAGGCTGGTCTCAAACTCCTGACCTTGTGATCTGCCTGCCTTGGCCTCCTGAGTGCTGGGATTACAGGCGTGAGCCATCTCTCCTGGCCATGCCCAGCTATTTTTATTTTTTTGTAGAGACGGAGTCTTACTATATTGCCCACGCTGGTCTCAGACTCCTCGCCTCAAGCAATCTTCCCACCTCAGCCTCCCAAAGTGCTGGGATTACAGACATGAGCTACCTTATCTGGCCTAACTTTTAAAATATATTAAAATAATAATGAGCAACACTATTGTAACACTAAAAACTTTGTGAAGACTTAATGAAAATTTTGGTTATCATATAGATTTTTGAAGGTTCGTTCATAAAGGAACTGGATTAAAGTCTGATGAAGTAAGGTTCCCATCCTTCTCTACTTACTGGGTATGATGGGAGAATTGAAAGAAACTGAGGACAGTTGGGGCCTAGTGGCTCACTTCTGTAATCCTAACATTTTGGGAGGCTGTGGCGGGAGGATCACTTGAGGTCAGGAGTTCGAGACCAGCCTGGCCAACATGGCAAAACACCATCTCTACTAAAAATACAAAAATTAGCTGGGCGTGGTGGTGTGCATCTGTATTCCCAGCTACTTGGGAGGCTGAAGTATGAGAATTGCTTAAACCCGGGGAACAGAGATTGCAATGAGTCAAGATCATGCCACTGCACTCTAGCCTGGGCAACAGAGAGAGACTCTGTCTCAAAAAAAAAAAAAAAAAAAAACATGAAAGAAAGAAACTGAGGACAAGTTTGATGAAGTAGGGTCATAACTGTTATCATTCTCTTTTTTTTTTTTTTTTTTTTGAGACAGAGTCTTGCTCTGTCACCAGACGCCAGGCTGGAGTGCAGTGGCGCGATCTCAGTTCACTGCAACCTCCACCTCCTGGGTTCAAGCAATTCTCGTGCTTCAGCCTCCCAAGTAGCTGGGACTACAGGTGCAAGCCACCACGCCCAGCTAATTTTTTTTGTATTTTTAGTAGAGACAGGGTTTCACCATGTTGATCAGAATGGTCTTGATCTTTTGACCTCGTGATCCGCCCGCCTCAGCCTCCCAAAGTGGGATTACAGGCTTGAGCCACCTCACCCAGCATTCTTCTTCTTCTTCTTTTTTTTTTTTTGAGATGAAGTTTGTCTCTTGTTGCCCAAGGCTGGAGTGCAGTGATACGATCTCGGCTCACTACAACCTCTGCCTCCTGGATTCAAGCAATTCTCCTGTGTCAGTCTCCTGAGTAGCTGGGATTACAGGCCTGAGCCATGGTGCCTGGCCAAGTTTTTGTATTTTCAGTAGACATGGGGTTTCACCATGTTGGCCAGGCTGGTCTCAAACTCCTGACCTCAGGCTGTCTGCCTGCCTTGGCCTCCCAAAGTGCTGGGGTTACAGGCATGAGCCACCACACCCAGCCATCATTCTAATTCTTATTTATCTTTTCAAGAAACAACATAATGAAACGACTAAAAGCCATCCAGAATACTGGGAAAGGCTATGAGACCAGGAAACTTTATGTGATGCTAAGCAGACTTGATGACTACCAGAAAAAGGTGATGCAGGTCTGGACTGAGAAGCAGAAGTCTCTAGGGCAGAAACGGAATCAGTGCTTGAAGAAAATGATACATGTATTTGACGAGGTAACCTGCTTTCCACTCCCTCTCTCCAGCATGTTGTAAAAACACGAAAGTGGCTAAGCTTTGAAAATGATATTTACCTGGAGACAGCATGCTATATTACTTTCCAGGGCTGCTGTAACAAATTACCACAAACTTCATAGCTTGAAACAACAGAAATTTACTCTCTTACAGTTCTAGAGGCCAGAAATTAGTGAAATCAGGGTGTCTGCCGGGTTGGTTCCTTCTAGAAGCTCTGAGAGGGCATTCTGTTGTACGTTTCTGTCCTAGATTGTGATGGCTATGGACAATCCTTAGCATTCCTGTTTGTAGTCACATAATTCCAATCTCTGCCTCTGTCTTTCAAATGGCTTTCTTCTTCTTTTTTGAGTCTTGCTCTGTCATCCAGGCTGGAGTGCAGTGGCAGTATCTCGGCTCACTGCAACCTCCACTTCCCGGGTTCAAGCAATTCTCCTGACTCAGCCTCCTGAGTAGCTGGGATTACAGGTGCCCACCACCACGCCCAGCTAAATTTTATATTTTTAGTAAAGATGGGGTTTCACCATGTTGGCTAGTGGTTTCGAATTCCTGACCTCAGGTGATCCACCCGCCTTGGCCTCCCAAAGTGTTGGGATTACAGCCATGAGCCACCACGCCCAGCCTGAGTTCTAATGATAAATGTTACAAGCTGGGGTTCTAGAGACATTTTTTTTTTTTTTTTTTTTTTTGGAGACGGAGTTTCGCTCTTGTTACCCAGGCTGGAGTGCAATGGCGCAATCTCGGCTCACCGCAACCTCCACCTCCTGGGTTCAGGCAATTCTCCTGCCTCAGCCTCCCGAGTAGCTGGGATTACAGGTACGCGCCACCATGCCCAGCTGATTTTTTGTAGTTTTAGTAGAGACGGGGTTTCACCGTGTTGACCAGGATGGTCTTGATCTCTTGACCTCGTGATCCACCCGCCTCAGCCTCCCAAAGTGCCGGGATTACAGGCATGAGCCACCGCGCCCAGCCCTCTAGAGACATTTTATAACTATATATCCTTCTCTCTCATTAACATCAGGGTTTTTTGTTTTTTTTTTTGAGACAGAGTCTTGCTCTGTTGCCCAGGCTGGAATGCAGTGGTGCAATCTCAGTTTACTGCAACCTCCACCTCCTGGGTTCAAGCGATTCTTCTGCCTCAGCCTCCCGAGTAGCTGGGACTACAGGTGCAAGCCACCACGCCTGGCTAATTTTTGTATTTTTAGTAGAGACAGGGTTTCACCATATTGGCCAGGCTGGTCTCAAACTCCCGACCTCATGATCCGCCTGCCTCGGCCTCCCAAAGTGCTGGGATTACAGGCGTGAGCCCACCACACCCAGTCGACATCAATTAATTTATAAGATTAGTTTACTTGCTACTTTGGAAGGTAGAGAGAGACTTCTCATCAGACAGAGCCTCATCCAAGTCAAACATGTATTGTAAATTTTCCAGAACCGTTATATTTTATTTTATTATTTTATTTATTTATTTGTTTATTTTTGAGACGGAGTTTCGCTCTTGTTACCCAGGGTGGAGTGCAGTGGTGCAGTCTCGGCTCACTGCAACCTCTGCCTCCTGGGTTCAAGCAATTCTCCTGCCTCAGCCTCCCGAGTAGCTGGGACTACAGGTGTGCGCCATCATGCCCAGCTAATTTTTGTATTTTTAGTAGAGATGGGGTTTCACCATGTTGACCAGGATGGTCTCAATCTCTTGACCTCATGATCCACCCGCCTTGGCCTCCCAAAGTGCTGGGATTATAGGCGTGAGCCACCGCACCGGCCTATTTATTTATTTTTTAAAGACGGGGTTTCATTATGTTGGTCAGTTCTTGAACTCCTGACTTCGTGATCCACCCGCCTTGGCCTCCAAAGTGCTTGGATTACAGGCATGAGCCACTGCGCCCAGCCATATTTTATTATTTATTTATTCATTTATTTTTTGAGATGGGGTCTTGCTCTGTCACCCAGGCTGGAGTGCAGGTACGTGATCTCGGCTCACTGCAATCTTCGCCTCCTGGGTCCAAGTGATTCTCCTGCCTCTGCTTCCTGAGTAGCTGGGATTATAGGTGCCCACCACCATGCCCGGGTAATTTTTGTATTTTTAGTAAAGACAGGGTTTCACCACATTGGACAGGCTGGTCTTGGACTCCTGACCTCAAGTGATTCACCCGTCTCGGCCTCCCAAAGTGCTGGGATTACAAGTATGAGCCACTGCACCTGGCCCAGAACAGTTATATTTTAAATATTACAGCTCTTGGTAAAAAAAAGGAATATGCTCCTTTTTTTTATTTGGCAAATATAGCCAATGTAGATAGGGTTGACAGCAACATGGGTTATCTAACAGGAATCACAATGCCTAGGGCATTTCAGAGGAGGAATAAGGATCTGGGGTCAGAGAAGCCAGAAGCCAGAGGATGAGGTATGGGTATCAAGGCTTAGAGAAAGGAGACAAAGCAAAAGGGATAAGAGGTTAGATATGAATAAATACCTTGCACTGAATCAGCATGGTGGTCAAGAGGATTAGTTCTGCTATCAGACTGTGTGGGCTCAAATCAGCCTAGCTACATACTAGCTAAGTGACTTTATGCAAGCTGCTTACATTTTCTGAGCCTCAGATTCTCCATATATAAGACAAGGGTAATAATAATACGTATCTCATAAGGTTGTTATAAATACCAAATCTGGCCAGGCGCGGTGGCTCACGCCTGTAATCCCAGCACTTTGGGAGGCTGAGGCGGGCAGATCACGAGGTCAAGAGATCGAGACCATCCTAGCCAATATGGTGAAACCCCATCTCTACTAAAAATACAAAAAAAAATTAGCTGGGCGTGGTGGTATGCACCTGTAGTCCCAGCTACTCGGGAGGCTGAGGCAGGAGAATTGCTTGAACCCAGGAGGTGGAGGTTGCAGTGAGCCGAGGTCGTGCCACTGCACTCCAGCCTGGCGCCTGGTGATGGAGTGAGTGAGACTCTGTCTCAAAAAAAAAAAAAAAAAAAAAAAAAAAACAAATCAGCTAATATATGGGAAGTGCTTAGTTCAGTGTCTGACATTCAGTAAGTATTCAGTAAATGCTGGCTATCATTACAGTTGCACACTGCTTCAATTTGTAAAGTGCTTCCATATATACTGTGTTTTACAATTCTCCCAACAATCCTGTGTTATTATCCCTGTTTTAGAAATGAGCAGAAAGAAGTACAGATAAATTAAGCAACTATCCCAACATCTCAAGAAAATGAGAGAACGAGGAGTTGAGCTTAAGTAGGACTAAGGTTTTTACATAGCAGAGCTGCCACCTCTGAAATTATGAATGTTGGAAGCGGGTGGAGTAGGGAGAGGATTTGCAAATCCATGGAAAAGGTGGAGTCACAGTTTAGTCTAGGGACAGCTCTGAAGACCCTTCTAAAGATTCTCTTTTCATGGTTTCCTTTTTCTGATCTAATTTTTTTATAGCTCAAAAAGATACATGATTTGAATCTTAGTCAACCTATCCCCTTAATCATCAAAGGAAAGCAGATACCTGCCTCTACCATATTTGTTCAAAAGCCATTCTTAAAACTACTAATGGAAGAGGACAGAACCTCTGACATATTCAAGAAATTTAGGTATGTGCTAGAAAGACTGATATTAAACTTTGTTTGGACGATATGTGGGACCTAATTTCCTGCCCAAGAGCTTCCCTTTCCCCACAATTATCAAATGGTACAATGGAAAGTCTAAAGGAGTATTAATTTCCTTAGCTAATTTTGCAAGAGGTTAATTTACATATATTTCTACTTAAATATTTAACATTGGATTTTGAGTTCCTCTAAAAATAAAGCTGATTCTTTCTTACTAAAAAAAAAATTATTTTAATAAAGAAACTTAGAAGCATTATCCTTTCTTTTTCTTTTCTTTCTTTTTTTTTTTTTAAGGAGGAAGGAGCTTTAGGAAGGAAGGAGAAAAGTTATATGGTCTCTATAAGCCATGAAGCTAAAATGGTAGTTTTAAAATGGATTACTAGGTGAAGTAATGAAAATGCAGCTTTGGTAACTCAGCAAGTTCTGCTTTTTCATCCATCTGTCTGTCAAAGTGGGCAGAGCTAATGCTGGTCAGTGCAAGGGGAGGGCATTATAGGACTAGGTGGTGGTAGATAGGGGTGAATAAGATATATATTAATGGGCTATGGAGCTCAGAAAAATTTGGTGCTTCCAATTTATGCTCTGATTCTGTAGACAACAAGAGGACCAGACAGAGGCCATCTGGAATGTTGATCTGTCCACTACAAGCTACCCAATAGCAGAGAAGACATCTATGCATTCACTCTGGGCCCAGCTGGGTGGGTACCCAGATATTCCTAGGCTGCTGCAGTTAGATGTGCAGTCTACCTTCAGAAAATCTCTTGCATCCCTCCAATCACAGTAAGTTATGGACTGGAAGCACTCTCATAATTGGGCCTTTGATCGTATACTTTTTGTTTCCCTAACTTGACTTTCTCCTGTAGCACCAAGGAGTTACCAAAAGTAATGTTCAGTATGAGGTTAGGACTCACACCTGTCATAAAATAGTACAGGTAAATTCAGCATTAGTCTGTGTTTCTCATCATAGGCCTGTAGATGTCACCATTTGAATAACATAAAACAAGCAAAAAACCAGTTTTAATACCATGAACCTAATCTAACACTAGATAGGTCCACTTTTAATTCCATCCTTAGAAATCTGTTAATAGAAATACCAGAAACGGCCAGGTGCAGTGGCTCACACCTGTAATCCCAGCACTATGGGAGGCCGAGGCAGGTAGATCACAAGATCAGGAGTTCAATACCAGCCTGGCCAATATGCTGAAACCTTGTCTCTACTAAGAATACAAAAAAATTAGCTGGACATGGTAGTAGGTACCTGTAGTCCCAGGCTGAGACAGGAGAATTGCTTGAACCCAGGAGGCAGAGGTTGCAGTAAGCCGAGATTACACCACTACACTCCAGCCTGGGCGACAGAATGAGACTCCATCTCAAAAAAAAAAAAAAAAAAAAAAAAAAAAAGCAACAGAAAAACCATTGTAGAATGCTTTTTTCATATTATGGTTCAGTGACATGACCTTAAGTGCAGTTGTCATATCTTGACCCAATCTGAGTAAATTAGGTGTTTATTTTCTAGGATACACTGAAGAGATGATGCCACATTTCCAAATCTGTTGAACCAGATTTTCACTTAAACCATTGGAAATTATTCCAGTGGAAATAAGGGCTTTGGAGTCTGCATTAACTCTTTCAGGACAACTAATTATTCTAAATCAGGAATTTAGAAAATTGAACTTTTGTTAATCTGAAAGAGTTCATGGGAGCAGTCTGATTTATTCTGGTGAAATCTAAGTCCTGAAGAAGTAGTGTTAGGCCGGGCACAGTGGCTTATGCCTGTAATCTCAGCACTTTGGGAGGCCAAGGCAGGTGGATCACCTGAGGTGGGGAGTTTTGAGACCAGCCTGGTCAACATGGCGCAACCCCGTCTCTACTAAAAATACAAAATTATCCAGGTGTGGTGGTGCACATCTGTAATCCCAGCTACTCGGAGGCTGAGGCAGGAGAATTGCTTGAATCCAGGAGGCAGAGGTTGCAGTGAGCCAAGATTGCGCCACTGTGCAGCAGCCTGGGAGAGAGAGTAAGACTGTCTCAAAAAGAAAAAGAAACAAAAGTAGTATTAACTCACAAATTTGTCCAGGTGGCAGACACCATAAAATAAGACATTTAAAATTCTACAATAAAGCAAAATAATAGCAAAAATATTGCTATTTGGTATATACAAAGTCATATATCATGAGCATGTGTTTTTGAAAAAAATTATTAAACCAAATATAACCATTAAGTTGAATAAGCATGACTCATAAGTTATAGGTTATAATCACAAAGCAACATTTTTTCTGGTCTCCCATTTTCCCTTTTACTTTACAGCAATTAAATTAATGAATTTAGGTTATTTTGAGGGAAAATATTCTAATTTAGTTATTTATAGGGCCTTGGGACAAAATACATAAATTTTTCTTTAAGTTTCATTTTCCTTACCTCCATTCCATGACTGACTTCAAGTGTCAGATATCCTTCTGACCTAACCACTTATTACTTATGCTAAATCCCTGAAGACTCTTATTTCCAGTTACCTGTTTTATTTTATTTTAATTAATTAATTTTGTTTATTTTTGAGATGGAGTCTCCCTCTGTTGCCAAGTCTGGAGTACAGTGGCATGATCTCGGCTCATTGTAACCTCCATCTCCTGGATTCAAGTGATTCTCTTGCCTCAGCTTCCTGAGTAGCTGGGACTACAGGTATACACCATGACACCTGGTTAATTTTTGTATTTTTAGAAGGAACAGGGTTTCACCATGTTGGCCAGGCTGGTCTCAAACTCCTGACCTCAAGTGATCAGCCTGCCTTGGTTTCCCAAAGTGCTGGGATTACAGGTGTGAGCCACTAGGCCCGGCCCTACTATTTTATTTTTATTATTTTTTAAGAGACGGGGTCTCTAAAACAAGCTTGTTTTGTTGCAAAAGCAAGCTCATATTGGACATGTTTTAAAATCTACTTTGAGGTCAGGAGTGGTGGCTCATGCCTATAATCCAGAGCTTTGAGAGGCTGAGGCAGGTGGATCACCTGAGGCCAGGAGTTCAAGACCAGTCTGGCCAACATGCTGAAACCCTGTCGCTACTAAAAATACAAAAAATTGGCTGGGCATGCTGGCACACACCTGTAGTCCCAGCTACTCAAGAGGCTGAGGAATGAGAATGGCTTGAGCCTGGGAGGCAGAGGTTGCAGTGAGCCGAGATTACACCACTGTACTCCAGCCTGGGCAACAAGGCAAGACTCTGTCTCAAAGAAAATAAAAAAATAAAAACCTATTTTGTGTTACATTTAATAGTACATCTTCGAAATTTTTCTATTATAATAAATATAGAGCTACATCATTTTATTGGTTGCATGATATTCATTGCATATCTGTATTTTTTGTTTGTTTTTAGAGATGGGGTCTTGCTCTGTCATTCAGGCTAGAGTGCAGTGGCACAATCATAACTCACTGTAACCTCTAACTTCTGGGGTGGAGTGATCCTACTGCTTCAGTCTCCCAAGTAGCTGGGATTACAGGGACACCTGACCCATTGTATAGACATATCATAATGTATTTAATTGTTCTCCTACTGATAGAAATTTGGATATTTTTCAACATTGCAAACAATGCTACACCAAATATCTTTACAATACTTTGTATGTTTATATAATTATTTCTCTATGAAAATTCCATTAAAATAATATTCTGTTTTTACCAATTATAAAAGTAATGCATGTTCACTGAAAATTTAAAAAATACCGACAGGCCTATCCTCAGAAATAACAATCATTATCAATATTTAAGCCATGTTCTAACTTTAGGTATAAGAATACTGTCTAATAAGTAATAAGCTATTGCCAAGCCCTTTTCTTCCTGATTTTGGGGCTGCAAGACATTCTGCCACCTTTATGTGACTTTTATAAATATGGATTATAGGCCAGGCACCGTGGTCACACCTGTAATCCCAGCTATTTAGGAGGCTGAGGTGGGAAGACTGCTTGAGCTTGGGGAGCAGAGGTTACAGTGAGCTGAGATGGTGCCACTGCACTCCAGCCTAGGTGACAGTGTGAGACCCTGTCTCAAAAAAAAAAAAAAGGATTACATACTGATTTTTTTTTTTTTTAAGGATGGGGTTTCACCACCATGGCCAGGCTGGTCTTGAACTCCTGACCTCAGGTGATCCACCCACCTCGGCCTCCCAAAGTCCTAGGATTACAGGCGTGAGCCACCGCGCCCGGCCTACATACTGATTTTGCTAGTTTATCTTTGTGAGTTCTAGAGGCACTTTTCCCTATGACTCACCTATAGTCCCACAAATGTGTTTAAAGCACTTTATAATGAGGTTAATTTTCTTGTCTCATTTCCAGGGTTAAGAAGATTCGCAAATCACTGTAAAATTAAATACAAGCATGTTGAAGGTACATATATTTCAGGAAACGCCTATTTTGTTCTCTTTAATGTATACATATTGCTTTGTCTTTCCTTTGCTTTTATATTCTGCCTGTGGTTCTTCAGCTTGAACATCTTCATTTCTGGACTACTACTATGACCAATCAAGAAAGAATATCTTCTGCCCTAGATTGCTGGAGACACAAAGCTTCAATACCCCTGGGGTAGGCTGAGTCATGAAAGGCATATCATTATGGGCCCCCTAACATGGTGGCAAAGTGGCACAGTCTGCCTCCCCCAGTCTAAACCCGAAGATGCCTCAGATGGAAGAAATAAATGAGTATAATGAAGGAAACTAAAAACCAGCAGAAACGCCTGAAGAATTTGAAGGTGGTTATGATTGGTAAAGAAGGGGAATCATAATATTACCAGTTGAGGGCTGTGAATGCGAGTTGTCCAAGTTCTTGGCATTTTGAACAAAGAGTAGGGCAAAATGCCCAGCAAAGAAAGAATAAAGCAACAAAAGAACGAAAGCAAGGATTTATTGAAAATGAAAGCACACTCCACAGTGTGGGAGTGGCCCAAGCAGCTGCTCAAGAGCCTAGACACAGAATCTTCTTGGGTCCAAACAGCCCAAGAAGTTTCCCAGTGGTCACTTCATGTTCACCTCATGTAAATAAAATGGTAGCTTGCAATCAGTCTGATTGGTTGCAGAAAGCAGCCAACCAGAGGCTGAAGTGAAGATATAAAGGTCACACTCCTGTGCAAACATTGCAGAGAGCAACCAATCAGAGGCTAGGGTGAAGTTACAAAATTATACTTCTATGCAAAGACTCGCCTGCAATCAGTCTGATTCCTTGCGAACAGCCAATTTCCCATCTGCCGTACAGAAAAGATCAAAGGGAGTAGCCTCTAGTCCTTCCAGCAAAGGTCAAAGAGTAGCCTCTGGTCCTTCTGTTACTTAGGCATGGAAAGTTACGTTTTCCTTTCAATTTAGTTCTAGGAAGTTGGCATGCAGCCTCATGTTTGCTGCCTCCAGATCCTATTCTCCTGCCTCAATAACTCTGTACCGCAGAGGCCAGGCTTCCAGCATGGGGATTGTATTAGTCAGGGTTCTTAGAGGGACAGAACTAATAGGATATATAAAGGGGAGTTTATTAAGTATTAACATACATGATAACAAGGTCCCACAATAGGCTGTTTGCAAGTGAGGAGCAAGGACAGCCAGTCTCAGTCCCAAAACTGAAGAACTTGGGAGTCCGATGTTCAAGGGCAGGAAGCATCCGCCACAGGAGAAAGATGTAGGCTCGGAGGCTAGGCCCATCTCTCTCCTTTTTTCATTTTTCTACCTGCGTTATATTCACTGGAAGCTGATTAGATTCTGCCCAAGCAGTTAAGGGTGGGTTTGCCTTCCTCAGCCCACTGACTCAAATGTTAA